GCTCTAGTCATCTGACTGACCACAAACTCTAACATATTAGCTGGACAACATGCTCTAGTCATCTGACTGACCACAAACTCTAACATATTAGCTGGACAACATGCTCTAGTCATCAGACTGACCACAAACTCTAACATATTAGCTGGACAACATGCTCTAGTCATCTGACTGACCACAAACCCAAATATATTAGCTGGACAACATGCTCTAGTCATCTGACTTACCACAAACCCCAATATATTAGCTGGACAACATGCTCTAGTCATCTGACTGACCACAAACCCTAACATATTAGCTGGACAACATGCTCTAGTCATCTGACTGACCACAAACCCCAATATATTAGCTGGACAACATGCTCTAGTCATCTGACTGACCACAAACCCCAATATATTAGCTGGACAACATGCTCTAGTCATCTGACTGACCACAAACTCTAACATATTTGGTGGACAACATGCTCTGGGCCCTAGGTATTTGCCGGAAAATAACTTCCAACCGTCTGTCCGATAGCTTCCATCAGCAAGATGTTTCTCAACTTCTTCTAACAACCTGCCTCTGCCTGAATTGACTCTCTAACAATCTGCTAGACAAATCAACATCTTCAACTTGACCTAACTAACCATCTTCATCACTAACCATCTCTCTCACATCTCTCTCACATAACATCCAAGCCACATCTCTCTTAAATAACATCCAAGCCACATATCTCTCACATAACATCCAAGCCACATCTCTCTCACATAACATCCAAGCCAAATCTCTCTCACATAAAATCCAAGCCACATCTCTCTCACATAACATCCAAGCCACATCTCTCTCACATAACATCCAAGCCACATCTCTCTCACATAACATCCAAGCCACATCTCTCTCACATAACATCCAAGCCACATCTCTCTCACATAACATCCAAGCCACATCTCTCTCACATAACATCCAAGCCACATCTCTCTCACATAACATCCAAGCCACATCTCTCTCACATAACATCCAAGCCACATCTCTCTCACATAACATCCAAGCCACATCTCTCTCACATAACATCCAAGCCACATCTCTCTCACATAACATCCAAGCCACATCTCTCTCACATAACATCCAAGCCACATCTCTCTCACATAACATCCAAGCCACATCTCTCTCACATAACATCCAAGCCACATCTCTCTCACATAACATCCAAGCCACATCTCTCTCACATAACATCCAAGCCACATCTCTCTCACATAACATCCAAGCCACATCTCTCTCACATAACATCCAAGCCACATCTCTCTCACATAACATCCAAGCCACATCTCTCTCACATAACATCCAAGCCACATCTCTCTCACATAACATCCAAGCCACATCTCTCTCACATAACATCCAAGCCACATCTCTCTCACATAACATCCAAGCCACATCTCTCTCACATAACATCCAAGCCACATCTCTCTCACATAACATCCAAGCCACATCTCTCTCACATAACATCCAAGCCACATCTCTCTCACATAACATCCAAGCCACATCTCTCTCACATAACATCCAAGCCACATCTCTCTCACATAACATCCAAGCCACATCTCTCTCACATAACATCCAAGCCACATCTCTCTCACATAACATCCAAGCCACATCTCTCTCACATAACATCCAAGCCACATCTCTCTCACATAACATTCAAGCCACATCTCTCTCACATAAAATCCCAGCCACATCTCTCACACATAACATTCAAGCCACATCTCTCTCACATAACATCCCAGCCACATCTCTCTCACAAAACATCCCAGCCACATCTCTCTCACATAACATTCAAGCCACATCTCTCTCACATAACATCCAAGCCACATCTCTCTCACATAACATCCCAGCCACATCTCTCTCACATAACATCCAAGCTACATCTCTCTTACATAACATTCAAGCCACATCTCTCTCACATAACATCACAGCCACATCTCTCTCACATAATATCCCAGCCACATCTCTCTCACATAACATCCCAGCCACATCTCTCTCACATAACATCCCAGCCACATCTCTCTCACATAACATTCAAGCCAAATCTCTCTCACATAACATCCCAGCCACATCTCTCTCACATAACATCCAAGCCACATCTCTCTCACATAACATCCCAGCCACATCTCTCTCACATAACATCCCAGCCACATCTCTCTCACATAACATCCAAGCCACATCTCTCTCACATAACATCCAAGCCACATCTCTCTCACATAACATCCAAGCCACATCTCTCTCACATAACATCCCAGCCACATCTTTTTTATAACATCCACGCCACATCTCTCTCACATAACATCCCAGCCACATCTCTCTCACATAACATCCAAGCCACATCTCTCTCACATAAAATCAAAGCCACATCTCTCTCACATATCATCCAAGCCACATCTCTCTCACATAACATTTAAGCCACATCTCTCTCACATAATATCCCAGCCACATCTCTCTCACATAACATCCAAGCCACATCTCTCTCACATAACATCCAAGCCACATCTCTCTAACAAAACATTCAAGCCACATCTCTCTCACATAACATCCCAGCCACATCTCTCTCAAATAACATCCAAGACACATCTCTCTCACATAACATCCAAGCCACATCTCTCTCACATAACATTCAAGCCACATCTCTCTCACATAACATTCAAGCCACATGTCTCTCACATAACATCCCAGCCACATCTCTCTCACATAACATTCAAGCAAAATCTCTCTCACATAAAATCCAAGCCACATCTCTCTCACATAACATTCAAGCCACATCTCTCTCACATAACATCCCAGCCACATCTCTCTCACATAACATCCCAGCCACATCTCTCTCACATAACATTCAAGCCACATCTCTCTCACATAACATTCCAGCAACATCTCTCTCACATAAAATTCAAGCCACATCTCTCTCACATAACATCCCAGCCACATCTCTCTCACATAACATTCAAGCCACATCTCTCTCACATAACATTCAAGCCACATCTCTCTCACATAACATCCAAGCCACATCTCTCTCACATAACATCCCAGCCACATCTCTCTCACATAACATCCAAGCCACATCTCTCTCACATAACATGCAAGCGACATCTCTCTCACATAACATCCCAGCCACATCTCTCTTACATAACATTCAAGCCACATCTCTCTCACATAACATTCCAGCCACATCTCTCTCACATAACATCCAAGCCACATCTCTCTCACATAACATCCCAGCCACATCTCTCTCACATAACATCCAAGCCACAACTCTCTCACATAACATCCAAGCCACATCTCTCTCACATAACATCCAAGCCACATCTCTCTCACATAACATTCAAGCCACATCTCTCTCACATAACATTCAAGCCACATCTCTCTCACATAACATCCCAGCCACATCTCTCTCACATAACATTCAAGCCACATCTCTCTCACATAAAATCCCAGCCACATCTCTCTCACATAACGTTCAAGCCACATCTCTCTCACATAACATCCCAGCCACATCTCTCTCACATAACATCCCAGCCACATCTCTCTCACATAACATCCCAGCCACATCTCTCTCACATAACATTCAAGCCACATCTCTCTCACATAACATTCCAGCAACATCTCTCTCACATAANCACATAACATCCCAACCACATCTCTATTCTCTTAATTACCACGTCTCCCTTTAACTTCTCCTTTTAATTTTCTAAATTTAACCCCCACCCCCCCAAAAAAAAAATAAATACATCGATTGGTTTTGAGGGGCGGGGGTGGGGGTGGGTCGTGGGGGTTGGGGGTGTGGGGGTGGGGGTTGTGGGTGGGGGGATCGGGGTCTCTGAGAGATGTGAATTGATCACAATGGGAAGGGATCACAGTGTGAATTGATCACAATGGGAAGGGATCACAGTGTGAATTGATCACAATGGGAAGGGATCACAGTGTGAGTTGATCACAATGGGAAGGGATCACGGTGGAAAGGGATCACAGTGGGAATGGATCACAGTGTGAATTGATCACATTGGGAAGGGATCACGGCGGGAAGGGATCACAGTGGGAATGGACACAGGCTAACTTCTATTATTATGTGAATGATGCTACAGTGAAGAGCTAGAGAACTAAAACAAGAAGACAGTTGTGCAATAACGTTGTGAAGCTGCAAACAGATTAACATACCGACTTTATCATCTAAATTATATCTCAATGTCCAGAGATGTAGGCCCTTGAGCGACCACGGGGATAGAAATTAGCGGAACAACTTGGTTTGAGAATTAGACAGCTGAGATTATATGGGATATACGTTAGCTGAATAACTTGGTTTGAGAATGAGAGAGCTAAGACCATGGGATAGAAGTTAGCTGGACAACTTGGTTTAAGATTGAGATAGCTGATTTTGAGCTGTTATTGAGTTGAAAGTAAAACTAAGGGTGTGGGGGCAGATGAGGGTGTTTATATCTGGTCTGTTAGAAAGTCTGTCTTGGTCCATATGGTTGAAAGTCTGTCTTGGTCCATAAGAGTCTCAAGTGAGACCCTAAGGTTCTTTATGGTTTCATTAGTTTTAAATAACGAAGAACATTTTCATGCCATCTCATGGGGAGTCGATTTTGGTGGATATTAATCACTTCAATCGTTCAGTGATGAGTTGAAATTGATTGATAAAAAAAACCCAGTTTATCCCTGGTCTCACCGACAGAAATAGCAACTATTATCAGGGATTGCCCTCCCCTCCCCTTCCAACCTCCAATCTCCAAGCCCTGTCACTTCCTTTATCTTCGACACTCATCTCTCCAATGCGCTCTTCTACCCCTCTCTCCAATGCCACTCTTCTGACCCTCTTTTCAATCCTGCTCTTCTACCCTTCTCTCCAACCCCACTCTCCAAACCCGCTCTTTAACCCTCTCCCTGCAACTTTTGCCCCCCCCCCTCTCACATCTTTGTTTCCTTTCTAATTAACGATCCCCTCATTCCATGCCAATCACATCTGAACACATGTTCTTGACCTTACCTTCAAACAGAAAACATTCGTTCCAGTGTGGGTTCAGATTCTTTTTCTTAACCTTCGTTAAGAGTTTGTGTTTTTTGTCGGGCAGTAGCATGATTTTGACATACGGGTCACTAGTGCCCGTCACGTCTTTGGCGGGTAAGTCCTTGGCCTTGACGATCCTAAGTGTCAAGGTCAGTGATTGGAAATCGTATATAAGTCCCAGCTGCAGACTGCCCAGTTTGTAATCCACGCCCTCGACGTAGGGCCCCTGGGCACCCCGCTCCACCACCTCCGCCTCGTCCATGAGCATGCTGGCGATAGATTTGACATTCTTCCAGACGCTGGACTCACCACCCTCTCCCCTGTCCTCCTCAGAAGCTGACCGGCTCTGGCTGTTGAGGCTCGCGCCCTGTGGATGGAAGAGAAGAAACAGGAGAATATCGCTGGAAACAGGTGGACAACACTCTCAGGACTGACAATCATAATTGCACGGGAGAAAAATCCTGGGATAAAGCTAGCGCCCCCTAACACAAAAGCAAACAACTTCCCTGTGATTTCATTATATACGAAGGAAAAGGAGAGGGTTGGTTGCATGGGCGCCCGCAGAAAACTTTCTATGGGGGGAAGGGGGGGGGAAATCGATTAACTTTCCAGGTGGGAGGGCAAAAAAATGTTAGTAATGTTTTATTATAGTTTTAGTTTACCGTAGCGTATTTGTATGGTGAACGAACGGACATGACATCAGCTTAGTTACTTTCTCTTTATTTTGTCTTTACTTTAATATATTTTTTTATCCAATCAATCCAGGTAAGGGGGGTGGCAAGTGCCCCCTTAACCCCCCCCCCCTGCGGGCGCCCATGGTTGGTTGGAACCCCTTCCCCTGCCCCTCGGAGAATTTAAGAAAACTGAAGAATAACAATAAATATATTAAGTTACGGTCTCTGGTGTAATGTAAAAATTATTGCTTGCCTGTTAAATAGAATGTAATATTTAAAGAACATATTGAAATGCAATTCAAATGACCGGAGACAATGTAAGAAATGTATGTGTCTAAAAATGGTCTTAACTGTCCATGGTGGACGCACAAGCACTGAGAGAGGGAGAGAGAGACAAAGAGAGAGATAGAGAGAGAGACAAAGAGAGAGATAGAGAGAGAAAGGGAGGGAGGGAGGAAAGAAAAAGATTAAAAGAAAATAGACGGAGGTATAGAGAAAGTGAGAAGAAGTGCGTGGTATGAACTGGATTAGAAGAAGTGCGTGGTATGAACTGGATTAGAAGAAGTGCGTGGTATGAACTGGATTAGAAGAAGTGCGTGGTATGAACTGGATTAGAAGAAGTGCGTGGTATGAACTGGATTAGAAGAAGTGCGTGGTATGAACTGGATTAGAAGAAGTGCGTGGTATGAACTGGATTAGAAGAAGTGCGTGGTATGAACTGGATTAGAAGAAGTGCGTGGTATGAACTGGATTAGAAGAAGTGCGTGGTATGAACTGGATTAGAAGAAGTGCGTGGTATGAACTGGATTAGAAGAAGTGCGTGGTATGAACTGGATTAGAAGAAGTGCGTGGTATGAACTGGATTAGAAGAAGTGCCTGGTATGAACTGGATTAGAAGAAGTGCGTGGTATGAACTGGATTAGAAGAAGTGCGTGGTATGAACTGGATTAGAAGAAGTGCGTGGTATGAACTGGATTAGAAGAGGTGCCTTGGTATGAACTGGATTAGAAGAAGTGCCTGGTATGAACTGGATTAGAAGAAGTGCGTGGTATGAACTGGATTAGAAGAAGTGCGTGGTATGAACTGGATTAGTTGGCGTGAATGTTTGTTATGGAAAGTTTTATGTCGTGAGAAGTTTTGTCAGTTATGGTTGATGGTTGTGGGGGCGGGGCGATTCGTGGGGTTAGTTCATGGCCTTGTCTGCAGGCTGAGGTGCAAGCTAGTTTGTCAGTGGAGATGAGAGTGGTCTGAGGACAAGTTGTCTGTGGAGATGAGAGTGGTCTGAGGACAAGTTGTCAGTGGAGATGAGAGTGGTCTGAGGACAAGTTGTCAGTGGAGATAAGAGTGGTCTGAGGACAAGTTGTATGTGGAGATGAGAGTGGTCTGAGGACAAGTTGTCAGTGGAGATAAGAGTGGTCTGAGGACAAGTTGTCAGTGGAGATTAGAGTTGTCTGAGGACAATTTGTCAGTGGAGATGAGAGTGGTCTGAGGACAAGTTTTCAGTGGAGATGAGAGTGCTCTGAAGACAAGTTGTCACTGGAGATGAGAGTGGTCTGAGGATAAGAACAGAGTTATGAGGACTCTTTTGAAAAACACTTTAGTTACATTATTAAATTTTTAGTCATTGTTATCATTGAACATTGGTTAGGGATCTTAAGTGTGGACCAAACATGACTGTGAGTGTAGTGAAATGTGAACTAAGCATGGCTGTGTGTGTGGTAAGGTGCGGACCCAGCATGGTTATGTGTGTACTCAAGTCTGGACCAAGCATGACTGTGTGTGTAGTCTGGACCAAGCATGACTGTGTGTGTACTCAAGTCTGGACCAAGCATGACTGTGTGTGTAGTCTGGACCAAGCATGGCTGTGTGTGTACTCAAGTCTGGACCAAGCATGACTGTGTGTGTAGTCTGGACCAAGCATGGCTGTGTGTGTACTCAAGTCTGGACCAAGCATGACTGTGTGTGTAGTCTGGACCAAGCATGGCTGTGTGTGTACTCAAGTCTGGACCAAGCATGACTGTGTGTGTACTCAAGTCTGGACCAAGCATGACTGTGTGTGTACTCAAGTCTGGACCAAGCATGACTGTGTGTGTACTCAAGTCTGGACCAAGCATGTAAGACAACGATGTCAGTAATGACTACAACGCCATTTGGCTCAAAGAGCCTCCTGCAAAGGAAAATGTCGTAAAACTTCAAGGCACAGAGCTTCTTTCTGAAATAGGAGCGTAACAGAGAGGTGATCTAATAGAGTGGTGATGTAACAGAGAGGTGATCTAGTAGAGTGGTGATGTAACAGAGAGGTGATCTAATAGAGTGGTGATGTAACAGAGAGGTGATCTAGTAGAGTGGTGATGTAACAGAGAGGTGATCTAATAGAGTAGTGATGTAACAGAGAGGTGATCTAATAGAGTAGTGATGTAACAGAGATGTGATCTAATAGAGTAGTGATGTAACACAGAGGTGATCTAATAGAGTAGTGATGTAACAGAGAGGTGATCTAATAGAGTAGTGATGTAACAGAGAGGTGATCTAATAGAGTGGTGATGTAACAGAGAGGTGATCTAATAGAGTAGTGATGTAACAGAGAGGTGATCTAATAGAGAGGTGATGTAACAGAGTGGTGATCTAATAGAGAGGTGATGTAACAGAGAGGTGATCTAATAGAGTGGTGATGTAACAGAGAGGTGATCTAATAGAGTGGTGATGTAACAGAGAGGTGATCTAATAGAGTGGTGATGTAACAGAGAGGTGATCTAATAGAGTAGTGATGTAACAGAGAGGTGATCTAATAGAGTGGTGATGTGACAGAGAGGTGATCTAATAGAGAGGCGATGTAACAGAGAGGTGATCTAACGGAGAGGTGATGTAACAGAGAGGTGATCTAATAGAGTGGTGATGTAACAGAGAGGTAATCTAATAGAGTGGTGATGTAACAGAGAGGTAATCTAATAGAGTGGTGATGTAACAGAGAGGTGATCTAATAGAGTGGTGATGTAACAGAGAGGTGATGTAACAGAGAGGTGATCTAATCGAGTGGTGATGTAACAGAGAGGTGATGTAACAGAGAGGTGATCTAACGGAGAGGTGATGTATCAGAAAGGTGATCTAATGGAGAGGTGATGTAACAGAAAGGTGATCTAATAGAGAGGTGATGTAACAGAGTGGTGATCTAATAGAGAGGTGATGTAACAGAGAGGTGATCTAATAGAGAGGTGATGTAACAGAGTGGTGATCTAATAGAGAGGTGATGTAACAGAGTGGTGATCTAATAGAGAGGTGATGTAACAGAAAGGTGATCTAATAGAAAGGTGATGTAACAGAGAGGTGATCTAATAGAGAGGTGATGTAACAGAGTGGTGATCTAATGGAGAGGTGATGTAACAGAGAGGTGATCCAACGGAATGGGGATGTAACAGAGTGGTGATGTAACAGAGAGGTGATCTAATGGAGTGGTGATCTAATAGAGTGGTGATGTAAAAGAGAGGTGATCTAATAGAGCGGTGATGTAACAGACTTGTGATCTAATAGAGTGGTGATTTTACAGAGTGGTGATCTAATAGAGTGGTGATGTTACAGAGTGGTGACTAATATAGTCAACCAGTGCGGTACACTCCCGTTGTCACCCGGTATGGTACACTCCCGTTTCACCCCTCCTACCCTAGACTTCCAGGATAAAATTCTTCTTCTTAAAATAAGTCCATACTATAACAATAACTAGAACAAAAACAAATTAATTTAAGGCCAGGAGTTAAATGTATTAACAACTGTAACAACATTAAGATATTGTAATTTTTACATTACATTTTTTTAAACGTTTCTTTCCTGGTTTTCAAAGCCGCAAACCTGTCAATCACTATCAATGTCCTTCACCGTGTTACTTTCAATTGATGGTAGAACCAGATCAGAAAGCATTGACTGTCTCACGGTGAATCGTAAATAGTTCTTGATTAGTCTTTGTTTGAAAAGCTCCACTCACATGAGGCCACATACACACAGATTGAAAAAAGCCATTGAGAGTTTAGGAAGAGATTCTATGAAGTCCCATTCAGCTATGAATTTCAAAACATCAAAAACTGACCAGTCCAAAAATTTGTGAAATTCAATATCAGCTTCCTTTAGGTGTAACCTAAGCCTTGGTATTTCCTTTTAAAAGTTAATCTCATCACAGAAAGAGGTTCTTTTTGGAACGGGCTACAATAACTCTTCTTTATAGGCTGATAGTAGGCTCTTGGGTTGAACAGCCCCAAACATATCTACCACTTCTTTGATTGCGATCAGAATGAAAATGATCAGTACAGTCCAGCTTCTCCCAATTGTTTTCTTCTCGCAGACAGCGTTCAGCATCTCTTAATTGTTTTTTCTGCCATTCTCTTTTTAAACCTTCATCTTCTCTCTACCGAAATTTCATATTGATCTGATTTTAAAAGTGCCTTTCAATAGCATGTTCTACCAAGTGACAGCACTTCTCATGCAGGAACGATCTTAAGGCCCCTAGGTTGGCCACCACTTTGTCAAGCGTAAAACCTTTAGTCTGCAGATACAGCTGTATAAGATTAACTTCATCAAGAAGGTCAGCCGAAAGGTAAAG